TATGGCAACAGGTTGGTGGGTCTTATGGTTCACACGGTCTTTGATAAGCAAGAAATCTATGGGCATCTATCTATTCTAGGCAATAACATGACAGGAAGAGAGGATCCCAGGCTGCTTGGGAGGCAGAAAGAAGCAGGTCCTTGGAGCCCTCCAGCTAGCCAGCATAACCGAATCAGCAAGCTGTCGGTCCCAGTGTGAGAGACCTTGTCTCAAAAATTAGGGTGGATAGCTCCCGAGGAATGATCCCCAAGGTTGGGTTCTGATCTCTACTCTGGTACCAGAGAAAGAACTTAAGGCAGTGGCACTCACTGTACTATTGGTATTCTTTAGTGCCACTAAGAAATAGCAGTTTCAACCAAGATTGCTCTTCACGAAACATTCCTAATTCTAAATTTATTAAGTCTCAGTTTTGGGAGGGGAGGGTTGTACTGGGGTTAGAGCTCAGGGCCTTATGCATGCTAGGTAAGTACTCTACATTGTTTAGGCTATGTTCACTGTTCAAGCTCAACTCTTGAGTACATATCTTTTTAATATTTTGAATGATGAAATAAGAACTGTGAATAAGCACTGTGGCTCCACCTTAAAATATGATAGCTGTAAGTAATCATGTGGTTGTTTAGTTACTAGCTAAACTAGCAGCCTTGTTGTGGAACAATAAATTTTCACTTGAAAGGAAAAAACATCTTACTTACTAAGGGTGCTGCAGCAAATTATCACAGCCTGTGTCACAAAACAGAAGTATATTTTCTGTTTCTCTGGAAGTTTCTCCGGAAGCCAAAAGCCTAAATTCAAGGGCTGGCAGAACCGTGCTCTCTCTTTTGAGATTCTGGGTAGAAATATGTTCCTTGTTTCTCTTAGCCTCTAGTGGTGAAGAGCAGGCTTTAGTGGTCTTTGACTGGTGATCACATTACTCTGGTCTCTGTTCCTTTCTGTATATGCCCTTCTTGTCTTTGTATCTCAGTGTCTTCTCTTCTTATTTTTGGACCTCCCTTTGTCTCTCTCTTATAAGGGACTTACCACTGGATATAGACCTACCTGGGCTGTCCAGAATAAACCCACCATTCATGGTCCTTTAGGAAGCTCGTTTTTCCCCCTTCTATAAATAGAAACATTCACAGATTCCCTGTGAATATGTCTTTAGGGTGAGGATTTGGTGGTGGTCTGCTGTTTCTACTTATCACATGGCTGACAGATAAACTATGGTTATTCAGACTTGGACATTTGCCTAACCGTTTCTTGGAAATGAACAAAGAGAGCTTATCAGTTCAAGGAAAACAACTGACATTTTGGTTACTCCTTGAACAATTCTAGCTTTCAAAATACAGTGAATTCTGGGAAAAGTTGTATTCACAACCATAAGCTTGACAGTTTCTCAATGCCTAAAGACTCTCCTGATGGGGTTGTGGGTGAGACGGATGTATGGGGTTTTAAAACTATATATATATGTATATATATATATATATTCTGTAATCAATGAGTCAACATTTAGAAATTCTGTATAACTCAGTGGATCAATATTTTCTAAATGGTTTAGTGTTCGATGCTATGAAATCATAAGTAGGTAAAAATCCATTCCAAGTGCCAGATAAATCAATGGATTTTCATGTAATAAAGTATGAAAAGCTTACTGGTAATATTTTAGGATCCATATTTTGGCTCAGATTTTAAGAAACTATCACTTTTGGGGTGTTGGAGGAACGTCTCACTTGCTGAGAACTGGGGTTAAGTTCCTAGCACCCACATGACAGCTTGCAACTGTTCACAACTTCAATTCCAGGGATCCAATACCCTCTTCTGGCCTCTGTGGCCATTGCACAAGTGTGGCACGCAGACTCACGTAGGCAAAACACTCAGACTTAAAATAAAAATAACTTTTAGTGATATGAGAAGTTTATAGTACAAGAAGGGAATGTCTACAATTATTTTTTTTAAATCCCACTAAAACTCTCCTTATTTTACCTATTATAATATCTCTGTGGCTGAACTTCTTTTCTCTGCCTCAACCAAAAAGGACAAACACAGAAACAAACAAAAATGACAGAAATGAGATCACAAAAGACTGACTATAGAAACAGGTCTGAGAATTCAGATTCTTCTGTTAAACCAAATAGTAAACAAATCTGCATACATCTAAAATGTTGCCATGGCTACTATTTTTCATTTGGAGAGATCCATTTATTTTTCATAAAAATGTGTTTTAATGATAATAAGGAACATGCTTTATTTTTACTGAGCAAATAAATATTGAGAAATTTCATTAGTTTAATTTATAATGTAAAGTTTAATTACTGGCAATTCATTGGTAAGTATAATTATACTGGTAAAACGGATCACCCATCAGACAAAAGCTCTTTGGGTTCTTAATAGTTTTGAGTATGCAAAAGAGTTTGAAAATGAGTAAGTTTGAGACTTGTTCTAGGACTAAGATAGAGCAAAGAGAGGTTGAGGCCTTGGGACCTGATGAACTCTGGATGGCCTTCAAATACATAAGTAGCAGGCACAGGAATGGAAGGTTGAGAAGGTTGTGTTTTATTAGAACTTCAACTAAGTCAGTATTATAGTTAGCTTTAGCTGCCAACCTGATACAGTCTAGGTCACTGAGAAGGAATTCTTAACTGAAGTATAGCCGTACTCAGATTAGCTTGTGGGCATGTGTTGGGGGATAGGAACCCCAAATTTGCACTTGTATTAGTTAAATAAAATCAGCCTTGGTACAGGAGGTTGTGTTAGCAGCTAATTGACAGAAGGTAACCACAGAGCCTCAGAGGGCATCCAGGAGAGATAGAGAGACACAGGAAGTAGCAAGGTGGGGTTTGCAGTGGCACAGGCAAAGCGGAAGCACAGGTCTTCACTGGATACTAGCAAGGGGAGAGGGTTAATTAGCTGCTACTCAGCCTCTCTGAGCAAGCAGATTTTCACCCCAACCCTTGAATCTCAAGTTTATTCATAATTAGAATGACAGAGATTTAGTTATAGCTACCTTTAGTGGGAGGAAGAGGGTCAGTACCTACGGGAGCGGAATTCTTTCCAGGGTGCGGCCTGAGTGGCCAGGCCACTGGTAGAAGCAAGCTGGTAACTATAGAGTTACAATTGCTGGCTGAGATAGCAGGAGATTAAGGCACAGCCACTGTGCCAAAGCTACAACAACAGGCAAGTAGGTGGGAATTGTCATAGTAATTACATGACTTAGGAGGACCCAGCCCACTGTGGGCAGCACCATTCCCTGAGCATGTGCTATTTATTTATTTATTTATTTATTTATTTATCCAAGTAAACCCTTTCCTTCTGTAAGTTGCTTTGGTCAAGAGTGTTTAATCATATTAGCGGAAAGGAAACCAGAACAGTCCGTGTGGCAGGAGCAGATGATGACTGGGAACTCAAAGTTCTACAGGAGGTGGAGCCAGCCATGGGCCTGACTCACAGGATTCCTGCTGAGAGGTAGAAAAGCTGTGTGGGGAGGCTGTCTAGGCTGGTAAGGTGCTCCATGCATAGGAGTTAAGGCGGTGGGCGATCTGAGGCTGTGCCATGGTTCAGGTGTGAGGTAGCAAGGTGCAGGCCCAAGTCAATGGAACTTCTGTGATGATACAATGATTTAACACATGAGACACGATAAAGGGAAGAAGGGGAGAAAGGGGACCACCCTAAAGTCCTAACAGTCATAGGATGTCTGGAGTGCTTTTTTCCAACCTTCAGACTAGAGGGGGAAATCCTTTAATGCCCTCTCCTTCCAATCCATTTTGAATTCTATGAACGAATTTTGTTAAATTCACAAGGATGGGCCAACTTCTTGGATATGACAAGACTCTCATTCCTCGGAATAATCCTCAAATTTAATCCTTGATTACAAAGTAGCATTTATGCTAGAATTTAGAGCAAGTGCTCTTATAGCATGGAAGACCCAGGTGTGCTCACTAAAGAAGGAAGGAGATTCGGGTGAAGAATGTAGATATGGGGATGGTGAGATACCTCACTGATTAAAGGCACTTGTCACCAAGCAACGACCTGAGTTTGATCCCTGGGGACCCTACATGGTAGAAGAGGAGAATCAGCTCCCATAAGGAATCCTCTATTCTCCACATGGATTCTGTGGCACACATGTGAAACCTTCCCCTGAAATAAATAAATAAATGTATGTAAAAATAACATACAGACGGAAGGAAAGTGGGGATGCGTGGCCTTGGACTAAGGACATTATTGCTCTGCAGGGGGATGTGACTGGTGTCACCAGGTATTGGTTATTCTGTGTCCTTGAATTCTCCACTGGAGCCTTCCTGCTGACCCAATTCTCTACTCTGTGAGACCCTGGCCCAACCTTGACGTCCTCTCTTCACTCCTGTGTCCTTACTTCCTCCTAGGTCTTCTTAATTTTTTGTTTTCTTGAGATAAAGTCTCAACGTAGCCCAAACTGGCCTCAGATTTCCTATATAGCTGAAGATAAGATGACCTTGAACCCTTGATCCTCCTGTTCTTACTTCCCAAGTGCTGGGACTACAGACGTGTACCACTATGCCCTGTTCCCTTGTTTTCATTTTAATTTTTTATTTTGTGTTGTTTTGTTTTTGATATTTGTTGTGGGATATTAGTTTAAGATGTGTTACATTCATTTATGCTGCGGATTATTTGTTTTAATGATGCAAAGACTTTTATATTCTTTTATATTACATTTGTTGAACTCTGTGAAGCTGTGATACTTTGCCCACCTGAAACACCTAATTGGTCTAATAAAGAGCTGAAAGGCCAATAGCTAGGTAGGAGAGAGAATAAATAAGGGGAGAAATGGAGGAAGAGAAGAAGAGCAAGGAGCAAGAAAAGGAAAAGGAGAAGGAGAGGCAGATGCCAGGGGCCAGTCACCCAGCCTCACAACCAGCCACGAAGTAGGAAGGAAAGAAAGACATACAGAATAAAAAAATGTAAAAAGCTCAGAAACAAAACATAGAAAGAGAAACAGGATAGTTTAACTTGGCAAAGCTGGCTAGAAACAAGTCAAGACCGGGCAAGAATAAGTCTCCAGGTATTTATTTGGGAGTTGGGTAGTGGGCCCCCAAAAAGTTAAAAAACAAACAAACAAAACCCCCAAAACAACAGCAACAACAACAAACAAAACCAACTACAGACATCCCTCAGAACAGTGTTTTTCTTCTTTTTAAATTCTGTTTGTTTTCTTTCCCACTCATTCTTCCTAAGTGACCTCCGCCACCTAACGGTTTTAATTACCTATTAAATAAATTCCCCGGGGGCTGAGATTTTTATCTTCTTCATTGTCTTATTCTTCATAGTTGTTAGGAGTTTTCCAGGCTGACTCCACAGTTAACCTTAGTGACTCGTGGCTGTCTAGGTCCACCAATATTCACAACAAAAGAGACTTTTTTGCAAGCGCAGGTGGACAAAACGCTCTGGTAAGTCCTAAAGTGTACACGGGTACACGCTGTGCAGCCCAGCACTTGCTCCTCTGGTTGTGTATACCAGCCAAAAACATCTTATGCGGACCCATGAAAGAAATGAGGGTGTTTGTTCTAGCATTATGCATGGTAAGAGGTTGGAATCAATTTAGACGTCCTTTGTTGGGAAACATCAAATGAAAGGTGGCAGCTACACAGACCTAATCCTAAGAAGTAGTTGGAGTAAATACCTCAACGCTGAAAAAAAAAAAAAAAAAAAAACCACTGTGCTGTGAAGTGAGGCAAAGTCCAGTCAATGCTCTCTCCTGTGTGTGTGTGGGGGGGGGGGGTCACCGCTGTAAATCAAAGGCATGCTGAGAACTGTACAGAAATTCTCTGGGTCTTGATTTGGTTACACAGGTGAACACATTCACGTACGATCAGAAAGCTTTGTCATCAAAAGGTTATTTTACCTTCCCGGGTGCATGCTTGAACCTCAATTGCAGTTCGTACAGAAATGATACGCCTTATGTAATAACAATCGCCTAAATGAAAGGATAGACGCCCAACATGTTAGAGACAGAATACATCAGAAATGTAGTAGGGTAAGCAGAGAAAGAAGCAAATGAATGAATGGACTAATGAACTGAATGAAACACGGAAAATGGATGATAATGTATTAAGGATGATAACGTACCCAGAACTAAGATGTGTGGGGTCTCTTCTGTATATTTCATCTATAATGACTATGAGTTTGATAAACTATGGAATTATCTGCACTCATGACATCAAATGACACATGCCAGGGCTTCTCAAATACTATTCTTTTCCTAAACTCTAATTCTATATATGTCCCTTTTTGATGCAGAATATTTGAATATACTGTACAGATGTGTCTCTGCCTAAGGTGCCTTCTGATTGGTTTAATAAAGAACAGGATGGCCAATAGAGAGGCAGGAGAGATAGGTGGGATTTCTGGGGAGAGAGAGGAAGAGGAGAAGGACTCTAGGCATGCAATTATGCCGGAGAGATGCCAAAGAGACAGGAGGGAATCAGACACACAGAATTAAAGAAAGGTAAAAGTCAGGAGGCAAAACAGATTAATATAAGTTGGTTAATTTAAATGATAAGAGCTAGTAGGACAAGCCTAAGCTAAGGCCGAGCTTTCATGATTAATAATATGTCTTCAGGTCATTATTTTTGAGCTGGTGGCCCAAAGCAAAGTTCAATTACACTTTTTCTTTCTAGGCACCTGTATGTGAATGTTTTATTTTTGTATTTTGGATGCCAGACAAATGGAAAATGCTGTCTTTCTTTAGAGATTGTCTTTTCCTGCTGTTGAAGTCCTACACAAGTCCATACATCTCAGCACATCCTTTTAGCCAGTACATCTTAGACCAGTAGCATCAGCATCACCCAGAAGTGTACAACATCTCAGAGTTCATCCCAGACTTTCTGAACCCCAACTTTCTTTTTAGTAAGATTCCTGGTGATTCTTTTGCTCCTTAAGACTTACACTGCTCTCTAATATTTTTTTTCCTTTGTTAAATGGAGCTAGTCCATTGTCTGGAGATAAGTAGGGACCTTTTCTCAGGATTCTAAGTGGGGTTAAAGACACACTCTATTCAGGCTTTGTATGCAGGGTCTGTTAGATGAAGAACAAGGCAGCCAGCTGTCTAGTATCTTCCCGGGCAATGACCTTGAAGAGGCTACTCTCCATGATGCATTTCAATAGCACTCTGTATTAACAACATACTTCTCCATCAATATATTAGTGATTCTCTCATCCTCTCTGCATCGTCTTCCCAAGCAATAAATTGTGGGGGATTTCTCTTTGTAAAGTGTAAGTGGTTGATAAATGGTAAACAAATGGGTTGAAAAGGTAACACAGCAGAGAAGTGTTTCAATTTGCCTCCATCCATCCTCCCTACGCTACTTAGGGGAGAAGCAGAGTGCCCACAGACTTGATCTGGTGTGTCAAACATTCTTCTAAACAGAGGCAAGGAGGGAGCAGCTTTGTGTTCCGTTATGTAAACCATTAGTTTAATAACTTCAGGTGGGTTTGACAAGGTGGTCTGTCAATCTAAGGACATTAGCTGAAGCCCAGCATCAACAGAATTCAGTAAAGGCCTTCCAAACGCTGTGCCCACATCACTGTTGAACTACCGAGTGCCACAGGAATTAAGCGTACTTAGTTCTCAGGCATAGTTAAAGGGCTGTCTTGGCATGAATTATTTAGAAAACAAATAAAACAATTAATATAGACTCTGGTTTTACTCCTGTATAAACCAATTCTTCAAACAGTATCCTCTTTGCCCAACGAAGAGAGAAAGGTGGTGATAAACTTTCTTATCCAGGGTCAGAGAGTTGGTCCTGCTGGTCCAGCTGCCTGCCACCAAGCCTGATGACCTGAATTCAATCCTTGGCATCCACACGGTAGAAGGAGAAAATTGGTTCTTGCAAGTTGCCCTCTGACTTTTACAAAAGCCCTCATGTGCACGCACGCACACACTCACACAAACACATTACACACATGCAGACACATGCATATATACATTTTTTTTTTTAAAGCTTAAAGTTCCCTGCTCAGCAGTTTCCATTCTGCAGGGGTCTCTTTTGAGCCTTTTCCTCCAGAGCTCTATGTCAAGTCAGTACCTATGACCTCTTGTTAGATTCCCGTTCTTTCAAACACCTTACTTTTTCAGAGTCAAGTTTCAGTTCCACAGAGATTCCTACCTACAGCCTCAGGCCAACGAAGAACCCAGGGTGATGTCTTCATCCTCCAGACCCAGACTGGTGGAGTGACAGCCGAGCTGGGCAACCTGAACAGCTGGGTTCCACTCTCGACCAGCTTACAGGCCTTGGCCAAGCTGCTTAGCTTTCCCTAAGGAAAGATGCGTGCCATATACAGACCTGTGGTTTCATAGCCCGGCTGTCAACTTCTGCGATGGTGATATTCTTAAAATCAATGTGTGTTTGACTCCCAGGATAAGAAAACACCCATCAAGATGAAAAAAAAAAAAAATGAAACCATGACTCTTGGTCTAGTAGGAAAACCAAGCATTGACAATTAAAATAAAAAAGGATAATGATAAAGGCATGAGCACAAGGATTGATATCTAAAACTAGATATTGTTCCTAGATAAGGAAAAGGAGGGAGAGGATCAGACAGTCTTGTGGTAAGCAGCATCCACGGACCTGCTGACCCTGACAGAATTTCCCCACTGCCTTGCCAGTACCCACAGGGCAAAGCAATCATTTTAAGAAAATCTATTTGAGGCTAAGACTGTCATTATCCTTTTAACGATGCTACTCTAACAATCCAGTTATGGCCGCGCTAAAAAAATAAGAAATGCTTTTTTTTTTGCCAATACAGTTAAGGCATTTTGGAGGCGGATGACATTAGATCAGTGTACAGAGGCTCTTTCTCTCATGACATCTTTTTGCAAGTGCACTGTAGTACAGTACAGTATGGTAACCACACCCAGCAAAGGTGTGCATAGCCAAGCAATCTTAGTGGTTTGCCAGAAAAAAGCAAAGCCACAAAAGACTGAAACACCAGTGCAAAATGGGGCTACTCCAGGTTTCAGACAAGCGTGTTTCAGCAGTGGAGAGTCAATAGGAAGTAAATCACTGGGTTTTCTAAGTAAGAGGAAAAGAACTGACTTTTGGAAACTTAGCAAGAGGGTTCTCTGTACCGCCCACCTCCCCATCCCCATTCCTTCCCTTTTTCTGCATGGGACAGCTACACCTGATGCCATGGGATTCAGAAGGGCTTGAAGCTCAGCTAGCCGAGGTCACCTGGGATGGATGCTGATGAGGAAAGAGTGAGCGATACAGAAGTTAGAGGTCAGCTTCATGTCTTTGAATCACCTGACATCCAGATGAACCCATGGAGTTCATCCCTCCTGTAACTAGGTGGGGTCCTGACGCTAAGCTCTCTTTGGAAACTTGCTATCCCTTGCGACTGATAGGCCTGGATGATGAGAAAGCCTAGCACCATACAAATATCCCATTTTATATTAGCTAGGGCAAAAAAGAGAAGATTTTTAGAAAGGTTTTTTTTTTCCCACACGGACACCTTACCAGTGGCTACACAGCAGAATGTTTCTCCTTCCTCCATCAGCCATTAGCAGTGTGTAAGTCCTAGAGAGTGGTGGGGTCCCCTGAACAACACTATCCTAAAGTCTTATACTTGCGAATCAGTTCTAATTTGAGAGTGAAAGTGAGATCAGTTTTGTTTTGTCCAGATAAAGATGAGCACATTGCAATGAGGCGTGTAGGAAATCCATCGTCAGGGCCGTTCCTTTGATATCGTTTTAGGATGCAGTTTTCATACATCTGTGTTACAAAGCAAAAGCTGTGTCTCCTCTAGATGATTCTTTTCTACTTCTTGATGTGAACGTGAGCTATGCAGTTTGTCATATTTAGGATTTTATGTCCCATAAGACTGGGCTGGGCACATAGTTCACTTATTTATAGAAGTTCATGTATAAGTGGTGAATGTCTTTGTCATTGTTCTTTTGCTGTGAAGAGACTCCATGACCAAGACAACTCTTAAAAAGGTAAGCACTTAAGTGGGGTCTTGCTCACAGTATCAGAGGTAGTCCATTATCATCGTAGCAGGGAGCATGCTGGCGTGTATGACACTGGAGGAGTAGCTGAGAGCTATGTCCTGATCCACAGACTGTAGGAAGAGAGAGAATTGGGTTTGGCATGGGTTTTTCACACTTCAAAGCCCACCCTGAGTGACACACTTCTTCCAGAAAGGCCACACCCACTAATCCTTTTTTAAATAGTGCCGTTCTCTGATGACTCAGTATTCAGATAGCTAAACTCCAAACCTGACTTATACCAATACATCTCATTATCTTTTTAAAGGTTTGGTCCTATTTTGTTTGAGACAAGGTCTCTCTGTGTAGCCCTGGGTATCCTGGAACTCACTGTGTAGCTCAGGCTGGCCTTGAGCCCACAGAGATCCATCTGGCTCTACTTCCTGAGTACTGAGATTAAAGGTGTGCACCACCACACCTGGCTGTATTTTACCATCTTAATGCTAAAATACGTATGTAATCCTACTATGTATCTTTTGCTTGAGATAGAAATTGGGAGGTACTATGGATGCCTCCCATATTTTCTTTTTCTTCCCCATTTTTGATAAATACAGTTTTACTGTCTCCTGCTCTTGTCTGGCTCAACCCCTGCCCTGATTTTGGCCCCCAAAATCTCTTTCTCTGGATCTTCATGGTGGCCACCTGTCTGTCTTCATCCGTACCATCTGCCCTGATATCCATGCATTCTTTCTCACTTCCAAGTGTCATTCCCAGCCCAACATTCTTTGTGATGTAGATTTGATTTGGGATCCCCATGTCTAGGGGTTTGGACATAACAAGCCCCCCTAGACTTATGCATTTGAACACTTGGTCCACAGTTGATGCTGCCGTTTTAGAGGGTTGTGGACCCAACTCATTGGAGGAAGTGGATCAGTTGACCTTCAGGTTTATATTATGGTCTTACTTCCTGTTTTGTTTGCTTCCTGAGACGTGAGTAAGTATCAGCTGCCACACTTTCCCCGGCACTGTGGACTGTTTCTCCTCAAGTTGTGAGCCAAAATAAACCTTTCCTTGAGTTGCTGTGCCAGGTTTTTGGTCACAGTGAGGAGGGATGAGGAGGAGTCTGCAACTTGCTTTGCTACCCCTCAAGAACACAAGGCGGATGGCTGGACTAAAGGAAGAGACATGGAAAGAGTGTGACAAATTGCCCTATTTCTCCTGACATGGGTGTAGAACAAAGGCGTCTTGGCTACGGCCTCCGTGTGCTGCTTTCCTTTTATGCCGTCTGACACAAGCTAGCGTCGTTTGAGCAGACACAACCTTGCCAGCTGTGGTGGGGCATGGTGACAGGACTTGCTGGAAGAGAAGAGGGAACCACCAGATTGGCCTGTGGGCAAGCATGTGCGAGATCTTCTTGACTAATGATTGATGTGAGAGGGCCCAGCTCACTGTGTGTGGTAGCCTCCTTGTGCTACGAGCAACAGGCTGAGCAAGCCATGGCGTGTGAGTTGGCAGGCAGCTCTCCCCTCTGCACTTCTCTCCACATATGACATTAAAGTGGGTAACTTGGAAGCAATTGTCGTTTGAGTAGAGAGAGTAAGATAACAAATTATTTTGTCAATCCTACGATGTTAACACTATGTTCAGTCGATCTTTAAAGGGAATTCACTAGAGCTCACACTGAGACTGCTACCTGGAAACCTTTACAATTAAGTCTTTTTTTTTTTTTTTTTTTTTTTTTGTGATCTATAGACAAATGACTTTGGGTGATGTCCAAGGGAACCTTTCATACTGAGCTTACCCTGTGAGAGCCTAGTGATATGGTGAGTTCCCAGTGGGAAGTTCTCTCTCTCTCTCTCTTTCTCCGCCCCCCCCACCTTCCATTGCCCTCTATTTCCCACCCCTTCCTCCCCCCCCCCCCATATCTTTTGCAAAGAATACAATGCAGGAGATATTTGCAATATCTATAAAGAGGATTTGTTCCATATTGTATACTTTAGATGTAATCTGGAACTATTTTGTCACAAGAAATCAGAACCAAGCATACCCTAGTTCCCAGCATAATTTGAACTTATTTATTGAATATGGTTCCAATTTCTTGGAGTGAAATAAGTCTAATTTGTTTCTTCTGAATCCAATTCAGAGTGATTTTTGCAAAAGAGCTTGGCATCAGAGAGAGTGCTGAGCATGTAAGGTGAGGAATTTTCAAGATGGATTGGTCATCATTATTTCATTAATAATCATAAATGCTGTATTGAGATATAAATTTTAAGAATATATAATCTTATTACTGGTATCTTTTTAGCTTTGTGAAAACACATCCAAGAGTCCAAGTTGCATACAATAAGATGAATAAACAACAAACAATTAAACCAAGACAAAATCTTTTACCCCCATTTTTGATATCAGCATGAAATATGTGCCATTGTAGCATTTGAGAAAAAAAAAAAACCTTGCTACTAAGCAAGTCTTCTCATGAAGATGTAGACAAAGATGTACTTTTTACCAAATGTCAAAATTAGGTTGTCAACTTTGATATGCAGCGCCACAAAAATGAATCTATTGCATGGATTTCCATGGTAGCAGTTCTCTGTGGGAAGGAGTATATTTGGTAAGGGAAATAGTTTGCAATCAAAGTATTATTGCTTTGGGCACAAGGAGAATGCCACTCAAAATGAGTCGGTGGCAGAACACAGCACCTCTGCAATTCTGTGTGGCATTGTTAATGCAGTCGTGTTCATTAGTGCACCGAATATTGCTTTGCATTCCCCTACAAACTTCAGCTCTGGACTTACGGAACTAGATGGAAGTTCAGAGTGTGGCAGGAACAAAACAAAACTGAGGATTCATGATCTTCTGGAAGTTAACTGTATCTATAGCGACTCAGGGTTAGTGTTGCAGCGAATTTGAAGACAATGGAAACTGTTCTGTTCTCCTGAAAGTTCTGATGCTTCTCAGGCTGCTTTACCATTAGGGCACCTCAGATCCCCAGATCTACTCAGCATAGCACATCTATTTGCTTCCATATTCGTCTGCGTAGAGGCTGGGTTTTGATTTAGTAGAGTTAGGTTTGCATTCTAGCTCACCCATTAATTGTGTGAACAGTGCTGGAGCAGCTGCTTGACCTTCTGATGCCTCAGTTTACCCATCTGTAGAAGAGCAGTATGGCAGTTGCCTTCTCAGTGTTGTTAAGGAGGCTTCATGAGATGTCGGTGGGTCCTCAGCACCTGGAAGCTCTTGTTTCTATGCCACGACAGTGGGTTTGCATCTGTCTCAGGGTGACAAGGCAGCTTCTCCCACAAAGACTTAGAAGCTCGCTATCAGATGCTGCAGAGAAGTTTCTCAGGCGCTGCTCCCTGAGCCCCGTGTCTCCTCTTTTTCATTCTTTTTCCCTGTCCAGGAATCCTCACCAGAATTTATTTCAGACCAGAAGAAAAGTGTAGGGGCATCCACAACGGGACTATGGGGTTTTATAGACACTTCATTTAAGGAGGAAACAGGGATTACTATTTGAAACTTTGAAATTCTCCTGGACATCTCCCTTCCTACTCCCTTGGTAGGTTAGTTTCATGTATGTGTCCACTTGATTGAGCACGTATGGTATTTCTGCCTTTCTCCTGGATGTGGCCAAATACTTCAAAGAAACAGCTTATGGGAGGGAGAATGTTGGGGCTTGCGGTTTGTAGGGACTCAACTCGTCACGGAGGAGAGGCATGGTGGAAGAGCGTGAGGCAGCCCGTCCTGTTGTCTCTGTTGTCAATTATTAGAGAGTAGAAGGAAGTGCGCCAAACTACAAAATCTCAAGGGCCCCTCCTAGAGATCCCCTTCCTTCAATGAGATCCATCTCCTGAAGGTTCCAGTCCTTCAAAATGGCACTACCAGGTATGACCCATGCATTCAAACACGTGACTTCATGAAGGCACGTTTTTGTTTGTTGTTTTGTTGTTGTTGTTGCTTTTGTTTTGTTTTCTTGAATTGGGGTTTCTCTGTATATCCCTAGCTGTCCTAGAACTCTCTAAAGACCAAGGCCTTGAAGGTGTGTACCACCACCACAGATTCTTGGAGACATTTTATATTTAAACTCCACAGATACTACTTTATTATGTGGTCAAACACTGACCTGGGGGCCACTGGGAAGGTGTTTTGCAGACGTTAACACCAACCAGCAATGGGCTTCAGATTTGTCCTTGAGTATGTGGGTGGTCTCCACACACTTACCATGGACACTAAAAACAAAAGCACAGTTTCCTGGCAAAGGAGGAATTGCGCTCAAGTCTTTCTGGGATTTCTAGCCTGCTGATCTGACCTCTAGATTTTGGGTTCCCCAGCCCTGTAATCCCATAAACTGAGTCTTTGAAATCTCACCTGCCCTGTCTTTTTTCTAATTGTTTGTGTGCATCCTATTGCTTCAATTTTTCCAGGAAGCCCTGGCTAACCAGCCTCCCAATCCCTTGTTCCGTAAGCTCTCCCTACTCTTTGCCAGATACCCCCGTTTTCAGAAGTGAAGTGGTTACAGGCTGGCCCCGCCCGCAGCAATCCAACCCAGGGCCAGTTGTCCATTCCCAGGAGACAACAGAGGACAGAACTTCTGGAAATGGAGGCCCTCCCCCAAGCTTATCTTAGTGTTTTTTTTTTAGCATCCCAACAACGACATTCTTTTTCCTTCTCTGTCAAGCAAGGCTTTTTTCTCTCGTTCTCTTTTCTTCCCCCAGAAGAAACTGTGCCGCCGATAAACATTAGTTATGGAAAGGTTTTCTTTGAAGCTCAAGGGAAGACGCGAGATAATTTCCCCTGGTTCAGGAAAGCAGGAGAATAAGAACTCTTCTTGAAATATGAGCTTGATAAAAATAATATTGTCAGTATGAAATAAAAATGAGGACTTGGAGACAGTTTCATTCAAACGCACTTGATCATATATAATAAAACTCGGGAGAACTGGGTTGAGGGAGGGATTTTAACATGTTGAATTGAATCCAGCCAGCTCTTAGCTTGTGAGTTTAGCTTTCTCTGGCAGTGCGTTAAGCCAGCTTTCTGCCATAACAAATACCTGAGCTGATCAACTTACAAAGAGTAAGGGTGTAACGGTAAAAATGAAATGCCGTGCTGTCCCCGAGGGATGCAGTGGCAGAAATGCTGCAGGTCCCAGAGTGGCAGCAATGGGCAGTGGACCATGAGACCATGCTGCTGGTCCCCACGGTGGCAGGCAGTGGGCAGTGGGTTCGAAGGCAGCCAGTTCCAGGTAGAAAGGAAGTTCCAGGCAGGGAGCCACATGGTGGCTGAGAAACTGAGACATGGTTAGGCACGCCATGCAGAGTGAAGTTGGATATTTATTTAGTGGGTTATGGAAGAGAAGAAACACACAGAGAGAGAGAGGGGTTGGGGGGAAGGAGAGGAGCCACAGCAGCAGCTACCTCTTGGGTAGCTGCAGGCAAGAAGGAAGATCTGCTTGCCTAGGTGGCGGTGGTGGGGTAGGCAGGGCTTATCTATTAAAGGGACAGGACAGACCATTGCAAAGGGTTTTATTTGCTCCACAGTTTCACAGCTGTCAGGCCATGGCTGCTTGGCCGTGTTGCTTTTGGATCTATGATGAGGCAGGATGGCATGGCCGGAGTTGGGTGAGAGAACAAAACTGGTTATCTGATGACCAGGGAAGAAAAGAGAAGATGACACCAGGGTGGGACAATCACTCTCAAGGACACATCTCCAATGACTTAAAGCCTTCACTTGATCTGGTCACTTCTCAGTAGCTGACCACCTGGGGACCACGCCTTTAACACATGGCCCTATGCATGGTGGCTTGGATCCAAGTTCCAGCAAGCAGCTTGACTACTGGAATTGTCACTGTGGACTGGAAGGTAACCATCCACTGAAAACTCTTTCTCTGAGTTCAGCTTAACTTTGCTCTTCCCACCCTATAAGCAAACAGCAGCACCAACAAAACGTAAGGGCTACTAGTGGAGTGGCTATTGGAACACAGACCAACTGTCCAGCTAGAGAGGTATGCGGTGCTATTTCTTCAGTTTCGTAAGTCACATCTCTTGTAATGTTCAGACCACTGTGGCTGCAAGAGTGCCTGCCATCTAGACTGGAAGAAGTTCAGGGTCCTAGAAGGGTTCCCTCTATATTTAGGATGTCCTTAATGAATGACTTTTTCCACAAGCTTATCCTGGGAGGGCTGGGTCATTGACACTGGATACGTGGAGCAGTTCTACTTACAGCTCTGCCTAGTTCTCTTTCCATTTACCATGGAATTTCCAGGTCATGTCCTTACTTGGAATCCTTTCACCCCAGCAGTGGATTTACTCAAGGTCTTAAATTTGGCTCCAGGTCTTGCTTTACCCCATACTCCCAGGTTTTTTTTTTTTTTTTTTTTTTTTGACTATGTATCCATGGAAGACTCCAGGACCTTTCTTGAGTCCCCTGCAGAGATGGACCTTCCCTCCCTCAGTACATGTCTACCCACTCTTTATGACCCCAAAATGGTTGGCAATAGAAGCATTCCCTTTCTTTCTTTCTTTCTTTCTTTCTTTCTTTCTTTCTTTCTTTCTTTCTTGTTTTTTTGTTTTCTAAGACAGGGTTTCTCTGCATAACAGCCTTAGCTGACTTGGAACTAGCTCTTGTAGACCAGGCTATCCTTGAACTCACAGAGATCCACCTGCCTCTGCCTCCTGAGTGCTGGGATTAAAGGCATGCACCACCACTGCCCAGCAGCATTCAATTTCTTAACAAGAACCATCTCAATGATGGTATTTAGTCTACAAGCAAATCACACTCTAGCCCTCCCTCAGATCCTAAAGAAAGGGGCTGTCTGATGTATTTGCCCCCATTGTCTCAGCACATCTCCAGGTGTACACACATTCATATCTCCCCCATCCCATGGTGTCCTGGAGGGCTGGCTGGCTGAGCCAGGTTGTCAGCCCTTGTCAGCCCTATCACAATGATTTCTGGTCCTGTTCCCTCTCAGATCTACCCTTGGATGATTTCATTCATGCATCTGAAAACACAGCCTCATGACTCCCTGCTGCTCCTACACGGCTCCCCATGTTAAAGGGCTAAGACAAAGCCTCTTTCTTACATGGCCCTCTTGACTCAATTCTTGTTCTTTTCAGATCTATACTTAAAATGACAACCCCGGTATGTATCATGCCTTGAGTCATGTGGCCTCAAAGACCTATTATGAGCTAACCTTTTGATGAGGCAGGAGAAAGAAGAAAGGAGGAATGAGAAAAAGGGAGAGGAAGAGGGAGAGGAGGAGGAGAATGCCCCCTCCCCATCCTGAGGGCTAAAGATGTGGGGTGGGAAGATTATAATGGAGAAAGCTTTTTGGCTACTGGGTCTATTCTGCAGCATGATGGTAGTATCTTCTTTGGGGGAAGGAAGTGTCTCCCATGACCCAGCTTGGAACTATGTTTCATTGTGTCTGTGGTTCATTGCCAAGAGCCTGATGTCTCCTCTGGATCGCTCATCTCTGTAATGGTAAAAATAAACACTGCAGGTCCCCTGAGGCAGGCCACTGTGGGTGGTTTAGGGCAGCGGCAGGTGGGAGACCATGGTGGGCCAGGACAGCCCATCTCACGAGGAGCTGTGGTGGGTGAGAGACAGAGATTTATAGCCACACCATGCAGAGCGAGGTTGGATATTTATTCATTGCGTTATGGAAGGGAAGGGGAAAGAAAAAAGGAAGGGAGAAAGGGGACAAGGAGAGAGAGAGAGAGAGAGAGAGAGAGAGAGAGAGAGAGACAGAGACAGAGAGAGACAGAGAGAGACAGAGAGACAGAGACAGAGAGAAGGGGACAGGGGAGAGGAGAAGAAAAGCTACTTCCAGAAAAGGAAGGGTGAAGACTGGAAGCGAAGGAAGATCCCCTTGCCTCAGAGGATGGGGGAGGGAGTGGGCGGGGCTTGTCTCTTACAGCACAGGACAGACTATTGCAATCTCTGTCTCTCCCCCAAAAGCAGGGTGGGTGTTACCTCCACTCTGCAGGTTCTTCTCTTTGGAGAGGAAAGGGAGGGGGTGGCTGATTAGTGTCAGCCTTCTTCCTCCTCATGGGTGGATTTGCTGGGAGCAGTGAGACACATCACAGGCACGGTAGCCATTGAGGCCAAGGCTGTCTGTCTGATGTCTCAGTGCGGATGGTTCTGAGTTGCTGTCTCCTGGCCCTAGCAAACATTTATATTAAAAGAGAGAGGTGGCTTTTTTTTTTTACTTTAAATTTTGAAACTGGCTCTCGTGTATCTCAGAAAGGCCTGGAACTCTGTGCATAGCCAAGGATGACCTTGAATTTCTCATTTTTCTGCCACCCAACTCCACCCTATTTTATAATTCTCTCTGACAGAGATGATCCACCCCAGTCCTCTTCCAAGTCAGATTCTAGAACCATCTGTGCTTTTCCAGAAGCCATCCATGCCAAGTAATTACTGGCATTCCTGAAGTGAGGCGTTCACGCTGTCTCCAACTCCAAGGGCAGTGATACCAGAATGAAGCCATTAAGGGTTGTTTAAGGATGGGGGCAACATTTTATTACATTTCATTCTTGTGTGCCACCACAGTGTGTACTTACACAAGTTAAGATGGTTGTGATATTGCTTCTGGGCTTTAAAAAATTGTGTGTGTGTGTGTGTGTGTGTGTGTGTGTGTGTGTGTGTTGGAGGACAATTCTTGGGAGTCTGTTCTCTCCTGCCACTGCTACCTTGTGAGATCTGGGAATTGAATTCAGGTTTTCAGACCTGCATACAAGTGCCTCTCACTGGTCTTTCCCCAGACTTTGGACTGGGAGCAAGTGACGATGGCTATTACTGGGCAGTAGACTCTTAGGGTAACAGTGTCATACACACGGCCCCTCACCGACTAAAACAATCATGTTTCTGTAGTTACCAGAGTCTTTACCTCATTGTGATCTGAGATGACCGCACAGAGTTCAATCTCAAGCTGCAGTCTGGGCTATCCCGGGAGCTTCCTAGACCCACCTGTCCCTGGGACCGCTATATGTAGTTGTAAATTGGCCCCAGATGTATGCACGTTAGTGGGACCTTTCTCCTGTTCTGGGCTCAAGGCACCCACGTGCCTTTGTATTAGCGTGATGGAAAGAGCCATTGGGTGCCTGTTTGGCCAGAGGGCTGGCCAGTAAGTGTTAAAACAGCCATTCTGTCTCTACCCCCTTTCACTTATGAACTTGCTGCCTTAGGAAGACTTATAAAACGCAACCAACGCCTCGTTAATTTTAAATGAATCTCCCCATGTAACCACTCATCTCTGACGGCCACAATTAACCTCTACTCCACACTCCCTTCTAGGTTTGGCTGGCTGAACCGGGCCTCTCTTGACTTGTACCCGGAGTTTTGTGAGCATTTTAGTAAAACCCCAGGAGGGATTCTCCAGCTCAAAGCCCCTTCCTTCTCTTTCTACCCCTTTACTTCAGCTCTCTGGACACCCCCTCCCCCACTCTCGCTCCCAGCCAGCCACCTCCAGACTGGCTAATAATGCTTTAAACGTGTTGAGTAGTCAGACTTCCCAGGCAGTCACTCTGACCTGGCAATTTCCTCTTCTACCTTCCTCTTTGACTTCCAGACTTGTCGTTTCCGTAACATGATGTGTGTGGGTCATGGGTGATGGAACAGGGCTTCATCAGCTCTGTGTGTCCCACTGCAGGAAGAAGGAAATTTGAGTTGGTGTTTTCTTCGAGGCTCACAAGTCACCGGTTTTTTTTTTTTTTTTTTTTTTTGTTTGGTACCGGGGCCACTGGATTGCTCTCTCTGGAGCAAGTCCCCAGGTCAGCTTCCTTTCTGTTTTCCATTAGGGAAAGGCTAAAAATGTCACAAATTGCTGATCATTCCCTGTGTCCCAGAAGAACTGAAGGCTGTGTCCCTTCCTGTCTGCCTCCTATTCATGTGTACTTTGTTCATTGAAGGTTTGAATGTCTGCAGTCTGGAAGATCCATCCTGAGCATGACTGTGACCATAGACTCTTGAAGAGCTATGCCACTGCCCGGTCTCCACCTCCCATACCACTCTCAGGGCCGGCTTTGAGAACAGGAAATCACTGCTGACAACTTGGATGTGTGATTTACGTCTTGGTCCAGCCTAGGACCCCTATTTGGTGGACTTGGGAGTGGACCTGTTTCCCCATCAGAACAATCGTGGTGAATAAATAAGGTGGTTAGGAAAGCAATCAGCTAAGTGCAGAAAGCCTGGCCTGAGTGGCTTAGCAACAGCTGCTTCTCTGACCCCTGAATCCTGACAAGGGCTGATGGTAGACAGATGCACCCTCCTCTCAGCATCTGGGACAGAAATTGAGCAGCGCAAGAAAGAGTCCATAGTGCACAATATGTTTGGCTTATTATTATTATTATTATTATTATTATTGCAACTAAAGGAATCTTCATGCTTGTAGCCAGATTTCCTTCCAGCAAGCCCATCTCCCCACCTCTGCTCTCTCTGGGCCTTCCCTTCCCACCTTCCTCCTAAACCTAGCTCAGTTCCTCCTCACGCTTGTGTTTCTTTCAGCACCCTACACCTGTTCTATTTAGTCCAAGAACGGGAACGAGACATTTTGGAGCTTAGGTAGCTATAGTAATTTGATATGACGTGTCCCCATAGGAAATGAGTCACTTGTGACTGACCTTGAGGTTATAGGACCTGGTCCACTTCCCATCTTCTTTCTGCTTTCCGAACTGTGGAAGCAAGGCAAACGGCTGCCTCACGCCTCTGCTCACACGCCTTCATGCCCATGATGGACTGTATTCCCTCAAACTGTGTGCTCCCCTCCCCCGCCACACACACACACACACACACACACACACACACACACACACACACTGCCTTTTGCTAGGTGTTTGGTTCCAGCCAGGAGAAAATCCACTAATGCAATGACCACAGTGGATTATTTACCCCTTGACTTTGTTTTCTGACTTTTGAAACTAAGTGTGAGAAGGCCCCAGGCCTATGGGTGTGGCAAACAGTCGAGGCGTCCCTTCTGCTTTCTCCTGTATGCTTCTTCTCTTTCCCATCCTCCCTATTTTTAAAATATAACCCACACTGGCTAGAGTTCAAAATCCTCCTGCCTCAGCCTTCCAGCTATTGGGATTATTGGCATGTGCCTTAACCAGGCCATCTTTACAGGAATGGGGTATTTTCTTCTCATCCTTAGTCTCTGCATAGCCAACTGCCCCTTTGCTTTCTTGGCTCCCAGAGAGTCCCATGTCTGGGTTTAGAGGGATGAACCCTGAGTTTGCAGCATAGGAGATGACTCCTATGTTAAAGATGTAATTCCCTGTGTTAAGACCAAAATAGTGGCAGCTTAATTTCAGGCACTTGGGCAAATCATTACAGGTCATCTCCACAGCAAATTATTATAACTATCCCAGCTGCTCGAGCACATGAGACCCAGAGCCCAAGTTCCCTACTAAGAGGCAGATTGAACCCTAGTGCACACATTAATGTCTCAAAAACAAGCAAGCAAATAAACAAACAAACAAAAAAACCACCTTCATGCAGGAAACTGAACCAACCCATTTCTCATTTCTCCCTTGATATGAGGCCATCCTCTAGTAATCAATTCCCAGTTCCCTGGAGAGGCTTGAGGTTAGTTCTGTTTGGAGACCACATCTATCCGAGGTGAAATTGAAAACTGTTGTTTCTGCATCAGGGGCACCGGCTTTGTTGGGAAAAACGAAGACAAACATGTCAGTAGTGTTCCAGGCCTGGGGAATTGGGTCAGTGGGTCACATCCCTCTGGCAGGCATACCTGCTGGATCAAGTGGGGATGCAAAAGACATGGCCCAGGGCAGAGCTCCATTCTAGGTGACTCTACAGCTGGGCTTCCTGGGTCCTTTGGATGATGCCTGCGTTCTTCTTATGTTTTCTTGAAGCTCCCTGCCGTGTTTGCCAGGCCTTCCTTCCTGTAATGTCAGGGAGGCCTGCTCTCAGTGCCTGCTTATCTCAAGAGTGTTCTTTTAGCTTTAAGGTTTGACAGTTCCCTGAAAACAAGAACCTAATGCTATTTAAAGGCACTAATCTCCGCTGCCAGGTCAGGTTTGCAACTTAAATCTGTGTTGGCTTTTCTCCTCATCCTTGGAAGAACTTTTCTTCCTGGAAGGTATAAATAGTGACCAGGAGATTTCAGTGGGTAAGGGGGACTGCATTTGAGAGAGAGAAAGACAGAAAGAGAGAAAGACAGACAGACGGGGTGGTGGTGTGGTGGTGGGGGAGGAATGTTGAGTCTTTGTCATTGCTACGGTACAAGTTTGTTTTCCTAGTGGGGAGTTTTCCAGAGGCTCTTAGCGCTCAGACTTTATGGGGTAAATGTGCTGGAAAGAGGCACACTTCCCATGCAGAATGTCCTTTTAACTCTCTTCTGCTCCTCTGAGCTTTGCCCCTGAATACACAAAACCCGGCATTTGTGACTGCCAAGAGCCTTCTGCTGGGAGGCAGAATGTATTGTAAATCAGTCTTTCACAGCCAGTTAGCAGAGAGTGTCTTTCTCACCCGTAATTATGGTTTTGCTTTGAGTTGAGAAGGTTGTTTTGGGGTGGCAATAAATTGTGATGTCAGTTATCCTTCAGTCTCTTCGATGGAGTCCTCAGCCGGAAATTGGTACTCTTAACAGTCAGACCTCTGGGGTCTCTGAGGCTGAACAGCAAAAAAATCTGCCCAGAAGAGAGGGAGGGAGAGAAAGGGAAAGGGGAGGAGAGGGAGAGAAACAGGATGGGGGGGGGAGAAATGATAAAGGAGGAGGGGTGGGGAAGAGAGAAGCAGATTGATATAAGGCCTCTTTGTTTTAATTTTGGCAATAGGAAATTTGAGAATGAGAAAAGAAACCTATTAAAATATCTTTCTAATATCTTATGTTAGAGAATTTTAGTGAAGCATTACCCCAGTATTTTTGAAAAGTTTAAAAACTATATTATGGCCACGGTTGACTATTTGCAGTGTGGTGTGTGTGTGCCTATTTTGAAAAGCTCCCCCACAAATACACTTGCGTTACTATATTATATTGAGAAAGTTTCCCAGCCAGAAGATTCCAAGTAGAAAATCACGTTTGAACTCATGGATGCTACTAACTGAAAATCTTCCCAACATCAAATTCTGTATTTCTGGGTCAGGTTATGATAAAAATAATTTTCCCACTTGCAAACATATTATTATTTTGAGTCTTCTCTGTAGTGGGCTTATGACTTCAGGATTGACCCTTTGGGTAATCTGTGATGACGAATTGCCTGGCAGCCTCTGCCAAAGAGAAGTCATTTAGTCAGATTTTAGCAATCTTAGGTTGTTACCAAAGCCCAATTGATAAAGCCAGATGCCAGGGTCAAGTGCTTGCTGGTGTCCCAGGGTCGGGCTCTAGTCCCATGCTTCACGTGGTTTCGTGGACATGTGGAGGAAGGGTTATTTAAGCTACAGTGTATGGGACTAATTCAACAATCTCCTTTCTGTTTTTCTGGTTTGAATGAGGGCCAGGCATGTGGGATCTGGCTGTCTTGACCTATGGGATTTCCATGTGATACAGCTTGGAGGTGGTCCAAGTGAACAGGAGGCTGGGCTTGGGGAGAGGGTGTGCTCTCAAATCAAACACATCGTGATTTGATTTCTGACTCTGACTTCCTTTGCTGTGTCATCTTGGGCAAAGGACAAGGATGCTAGCAAGAAGGTGGTGCTTTCTGTCCTGGGCCACATGCCCAGCTTGGACAAACCTGGGAAGCTCTCTGCCTTGCAGATGATGGGGGCTGGGGAGAGTTTGGGTCTCTTCCCTGCTTTCTGTACTGCCACCCTGGTTCAGGTCACCAGTGGATTTCCCTGCATTATTATATCAGTTTCTGAACCTGGTTCCTATTCCACAGAAGGCAGAGTGGGTGGATCATGGCCAGATGGGAAAGGATCCTGATACATGGGAAGAGACTGGATTCTGAAGGCCAGCAGCATAGGTGGTTTTCAGAGTGATACTTAATTATGTATGAAACAAGAATAAGTGTCCGCAAACCTGTAATTCCAGCTAAGTAGGAGGCCGCGAGGCTGGTGGACTGAGCTTCCAAGTTCAAGGTCTTCCTGAGCTATAGGTTAAGTTCAAGGCCACCATGGTAAACTTGGTAAGACATTGCTTCAAATAAACAGAAGGAGGAAAAGAAGTAAGGGGAGGGGCTGGCTCGATGGTAGAGTTCTTGCCTAGCATATATGAGGCCCTAGGTTCCATCTTCATTATTCCAGAGGGGGTGGAAAAAATGCAGGTTTGCATACTTTATTAATTTAAGATCAGTAACAGCACATACTCTTATCACCTGGAAGGCTGAGGCAGGGGAATCCTAAGTTTGAAGCCAGTCTGGGCTACATAGTGAGTTTGAAGCTAGCTTGGGCTACAAGTTAGACCCTGTCTCAAAGAAATAAAAATAATTAAGTAGAAATATAAGCAAGTAAGTAAATAAATAAAAACAATAGCATAGGCAGGCCTGTAATCATGGAACCTTGGAGGTAGACGTAGGAGAGTCAAGGGTTCAAAGGCAAGTCTAGCATGGCCTTATAGGAGATATTGGAGAGAGAGAGAGAGAGAGAATGATTTGCTCTTGATATTTATTTTACCTCAGTAAATTACAGCTGCATTTTATTTTAACCATAGTGTCTGCTGTGATGTTGTTGGGTATTTAAATTTAGATTTTTTTTTAACAAAGTGTTCTATTATGTGAAAAGGGGAAAAGCTACTTATAATGATATCAAGGATAAAAAAAAAGTCATCAGCATTAACTATTCTGCCCCACCCAGTTTATCTCAAACCAGGAGGGAAGCAAGACGCCAGGCCTGCCCTGAATCCTCCCACGTCAACCTGTGGGAAGAAAGCCATGGCCCGTGACAAGTGTGATAGCCACGAAGGTCTGTGAGACAAGCAATAAGAAGAAAAGTCGAGCTATGATACAACACCTCTTGCTGGGATGGTCCAGAAGGAAGGACGTGCGGAGGAAGTACACACTCATGATGTGGGCTCATAGGATTCCTTCTGTGTAGTGGCTCCGCTTCCCTTTTCTGTGTGTCTGGTAGGAGCTCTCTGAGGAGTTATCCCAGAGTCTAAGATGACATCAGTGTTTTCTGTGCGCTTATCACACAGGTGGGGACGAGATGAGAACTGAGCACGACTTTAAAATGGGTTGGGTTTAGATAAAGAGGAAGGAGGGGGGGATGTAGCATAGGGAGTTTCCAGGGTTGAGGAAAGCATTCACAGTTGTGGCTCAGTGTAGAGGCAAGACCTGGATAGAAAAGAGAGAGCCGACATTGGCTGCTCCTGTCAGTCATGTGGTCAAAGGCGAGGATAAAGAATTGGTGTTCTTTGTCCAATCAGAAAGGAGAACCAAAGATGACGAGAGTATGAAGAAGATGAAGAAGAACATGGCCTTTGGGGTGGGTTGTTTTCTTGCTCTGACTTTCAGAAACGAACTGGTAAAGGCAGAAGAGAGAATGCCCAGGTAGGAACAAACTAAAGTTAGGCACGCAGGGGGAATGGCTTGGCAACCTGGGATTCCGTCTGGGTTATAAACAACCTCCGCCCACATTCTAATAATTCACTTGGAAGTTCTTTACCTGCATATAACACAAATACACACACTCACTCACACAGACACATTCCTTTATAAACAATGCACCTAGCAATCTCAGACACATCCCTCACTGGCACTGGGCTTTGTCTATACCTATATAGTTACTTAATTATTGTCATTGGACAGTAAGTTTCTCCTCCCTTAATGGCCACCAAACTTGGGCAGTTTCTATTCTGTATTCTCAATATATCTGATTACAAATAATAGAAAGGCTGATGTGGGCTCAACCGGTTTTAGGTGCATGCACAATAGAACAAAACTGTCCAGAAGTGAGCTTTTAGGGGAGAATCTCCTATTTACAATTGTATGCCTTTGCATAATTGAATACACATATGATTAAAAATCAGATGCCTTGTGGGGAGAGATGTGTACAGTAGAGAAATGATCACATGACTCTATCAATCAAAATGGAGAGTCGCCCAAATGATTCCCCTTAGCAACCAAATTCCATGTTCTCCAAAAGGAAGCCACAAACTCGGGGTGCTTGTGGACTTTCGCTCTTGCGGCCTGCTGTCGATGGCAGAATATCATCCCTCTGTAATCCGTAACGTCCCTTTCCTTGCTATTCTGCAACTCTGCGGGAGCCCTCACTTTCAATCCTTCAGATAAGAGGCCATGAACCTAGAAATACCCACCTCAGACCACCAGCAAACCCAGGAGGGGCAAGTCCTATAGAAATCAAAATAGGGACCTCAGATGGCTATGGGGGGGGTGCTATCAGACTAAAATATTTCGCATTATAAAAGATGAATGAGAAGCGAGGAAAGGTTTAGCATTGGATGTGGCTGAAGACTCCTCATGACTAGTAACAGTGAATGGTCCAGGGATGTGGAGGGGTGCGGTCCACCTGGGATGTGGAGGGATACGGTCCACACAGTAGAGGTAAAGAAGGAACGGTGTTTGGGGATTGTAATGGCCGGTGGCCATGGCTCGACCAGAGGTTGGCTGAGAAGGAAAGAGCAGCTCAGAGGGGTCATCTCAGCACTCAGGGCCTGCACTGAGATGAGGACAATGGCACGTTTTAAGGGAAGAAAGGCGGAAGTTATAGAAAAGGCTAGAACCAAGGTGCAGAGAAGGAATCACTGTGGAAGCAGGGTCCCTCAGGCGTCCTGGATCTAAAGCCCCGGAGGCTAGAAAATCACCTGCACTTCTGGGACTTCTGTGCATCTGCTGACTTCCTGTCAGCAGCGGGACTGCTGTGTGACTTCTCCAGGGAAGAGGTCAACAAACACGCATCCGGTCCAGGTGGGGCACTGGCAACAGACCAAAGGAAAGATTTCTACTCAAGTCCGGCTTGAAGTTCACTGGAGCTTCTTATGGGAGCAAGGGTGACGCGGCTAGCTGTGTTGTCAAGAAGCCCACTCTAGCATGGGAAAAGTGCAACCTTGGAATTCTCTGTACAACTTGCAGGCTGCTCCCCGAAGATCCCCTCTCCTGACCAATAGTTTGCTGCCTATGACCTGAGGAAAGGGCCTCATTATTTTCTGGTTTTTGAGCTTTCTGAGTCTCTGTGGACTCCCATCTCTCTCCAAGAGCGTATGTTTGGATCTGGAGAAAATAACTGTGCAAGATGACAAAGGGGATTTGGGCAGAGGGAGAAGCTGGGCTGAAGAATTGAGGAGGTCTGTGGGGTGAGGGTAGGTGGAGTGGGTAGAATCCAGGGACTGTACCCATGAATGCCTTCACGATGTCTGCCTCCTGGGAATAAGAAGATAAATGAGGTGCTCATGGGAGTGACTGGCAGGCCAGATGTGGCTATGACCTTAAGGGGTCAACGCAGCCTCTTGGCAACACGTCTCTGGAAGGACAACGGCCGGCCGGCAGAGTGGGGCCGAGTGGGAGGCTCCAACCTTCCTCCTTTCTTAGAACCCCATATGCGTGTTCAGCAACCATTTCGTAAGAGTCTTCTAGCAACCACGTATTTCATAAGGGCCGATGTTGAAATGGGGCTGGTTCCCTCTGGCCACTGGGCTCTTTAATGCCTCCGTTGTCCGTTTCGAGGATTGCTGGGTTACTAAGTGGCTCTAGGTGAGGTGTCACTGGGCAGCTTCAGATTCTGATTGCACAGCAGCTGGCACCTGCCTTTGTTCTGCCTTTTAGTTCCACTTGAGACCTTTACCCGCACGGTCTCATGGGTATTTAAGGAAACTGTTTCTCATACAATAGCATGCCTTTCCTCCTCCCCTAACTGGCTCCCAGATCCTCCCCACCTCCCTACCTACTCAACTTCGTTCTTTCTATCAAACAAACAAACGAAATCAAAACAAAGAAAAACAAAGAAAAAAAAAAAACCCAACAAGACAAACCCCCCCCATCCCCCCAAAAACCCCACCAATAACATGGGTTCTGTTATAGATTTTGTTTCGGTTTTCTTCTGTGTTGGCCTGGGCGTAGAGCCTGCCTGAGTGTGGTTGATAAACCCGGGGACACTGCACTGTAGCCAGTAGCTATCAGTTCCCAATAGCATCTTGGTTAGGGGGTGGGGCTTTGTGTCCACTTCCCCTTCTCAGGGCTGGGATTTTGTCTGGTTCAAACACATGCGTGTTTTGTGTGTCCTGCCTGTCACAGTTTCTGTGAGGTCCTGTGTTGATTCCCACCTATGGCAAGAAGCCGCTTCTCTGAGGATGGCTGAGTGATGCTCAGATCGACCTCATGGGTGCTCTTATACATTCAAGGTGACATTGACTGCAGGCCCAAACCAGCCCATAGATACAGTAAATGGTTTTAAGAAGCAAGAGGATGGCAAATGTCAGTGCCTACAGGCAGTACACAGCATGAGTCGGGGGGTGACCTCCTCTGGGGACCCTGGCTCCAGAGAAAACGAGCAACACACAGTGTATGTGTATGGAGGGGGAGGCTGGGATGGAGGGGGGGCAGGAGAAGAAGACAATAGAAGGTGGGACCTCCAGGTGTGCAGGGACACCTGTCTCCCTCCAACTCCTCACCCTTCTTCCCTAGCCCAGCTGTCCTCCTGCCCCAGAGGCTCAGACAGAACATGCCCACTCCTCAGGCTCTGGTTAAATATTCTGTCACATGGGAAAAGAAATTCTGCTGCAGGCAGGTGAGTCAGAGTTCACAGCTGTTAGACAGAGCCCTCTGTTCTGGTCTGCGTAGGAAACGCGTGCCAAACCAGAGCAAAGTCCTCTTGAAATCCCCTCTGGGGAGCAGCCTGGCAGTGGCTCTCAACCCGGAACTGGCCTCAGAGGAGCAGAGGTCTGTCTTGTTTGCAGGTCGGCAGCACAAACCACAGGGAACCACAGGGAGCTGGGAACCACAGGGAGGCTTGGAGGAACGCTTTTTGGGGCAAAGTACACCTGTGCTTTCCATGGGGGACTTGATCCCTGAGGTCTGGGGTTATCCAAAAGCTGAGGGCTGATGGGATTTCGCATTTCTGAGAACAGTAACTCCAAAGTTTATGTGTAGTGTTCCAACCACATTGTTCCAGGAATCTAGTGTGTACGCTGTTAGAAACCTGAGCTGTGAAGCCTGGCAATTTTTCCCCCTACTGTGCTACATTTTTGGATGATTTCAGATGAGTGAGTTCCCCCAAAGACAACCTTGAATGCTCTTGGAAATGATTGTGTGTGTGTGTGGGTGTGGGTGAGCACGTGTGCGCTCGCGCGGGTGTGCAATTTCCAAGGAATCCGCAGGTTGAGATAAATAGGGGTACCTATTTATCTCATAAATAAGACTCAAGGTTAGTCATTAGTGTTACCCAAGCCTCAGAAGGGCGGGGTGACCTTGCCTTAATCCCTTTACTCGCAGGGAATTCGGGTTGATAACAACACTAGAGCTGTTCTGAGCCTGGCAGCGGTCACTTCCGGACAGACAGCTCTGAACTCTTCCGTGGAAAAGCCAGATAAACAGAGCAGCGTGAACATTCGGCGGTGGCGTGACTTGAGCGGTGGCGAAATTGTTCCTTGAGGCTCTGCTGGAGTCCAGAGAACTCCTATGAGCTCCAGTGTCCGAGCACAAAGTGTTGCACGAGAATTCTAAACTTCTGAACCCACAGTCTCTCTTACCTGTGCGCCGCTGTCAGTGGACTTTCAACTTGATTTATATTGGTCTGCGTTCTGGGGGATAAAATTAACTATATAGATCTAGTCCATTTCTAAAGAGGAGAGGGGGCTTGGATGTAGTCCTCTAGTCGCGTAATTACCCCCACCTTCAGGGAAAACTGATGCCGGGATTCGAATGGAACATTTGCCTGTCTACACAGTTTCCCTCTGGTCCCCTTTGCTCCGGGCTCTCAGGAGGTGCTGACCTCATCAGTCCGCTAGAGCCATTCTTTGTCCTTGGCTAGCAAGGGGCAGGTTTTAAGAACCCAGGCGGCCTCCCTTTTTGTTTTGATGTGTTCTGTTTAATAACTGTTGTGTCTGACCTACTTGTTCTTCAGTTTTGCAATCTGTTGTCTCTTTTTCATATTTGTGCTTGTCACTTATTTTTGAGGCTACCTGGGGTATCAACTGCTGTTGACAGTGCTCAATACTGACTTAGAAAAATAGCAAGGTGCGTAACTCTCGTGGTTCTGAAGTCAGTGCTCATCTGAACGAGAAAGGCTTGCTCTAAGCAAGTTTCTGGATGATTCTGTCTTCCCTACTCTCTAGAAAAAGTTTCTCGTTTGGTCTTTTCTCCAGACAGCATGGCAAGCAAAAGCAGAGTCAGACAGACTTCGATCTACGTATGATTCCAAGCACTGATGGTTATTTTTCAGAGAAAAAGAATTCTGAGTGTGGTGGCTTTTTTTTTTTTTCTTCTTCTTCTGAATTTCTGGCCCCAGAGGCTGTGGCATCTCCCTGCCTCACTCAAACAGTGCTATTTCCCAACCTCAGCTACTGCTCTTTACCTGCCATTCAGGAACCACTTTAACTCAGATTCAGCTGCCTTCCTGATGTCACTTTTGAGGTCATGAGAAGATGGCACCTCCCACAACTGTGCCCCGTCACCGTTTCTTCAACGAAACAAGCCCTTTCCGTGGGTTGACTGCCCCAACCCCACTGATTGTGCCTCTGTCACTGGCTTGACAACTGCTCTGGAAAAAAATTACCGAGGACCTCACTGCCAATTTGGTGATCTGGGTTAGTGTTCCTTAACCTGGGAGCCCTGGATTTGAAAGGGAAAAAAAATATGATTGCTAATCTCTAACTGAAATTTAGCATTTCCTTTAGCCAAGGGCATGGTCCCAAGCCACAGCAGTGCTAACAGGACAGTGATTGCAAGTATCTTGACACATCGTTTTCTTTCAACACTCCTGAGAAGTCGTAGTGGCTCGGGAAGTGGCTGCTCAATCTTGTTTCTCAGTGCAATAAAGATGCACATATGTGCCTATAGGAAAATGTTTTAATCTTGCACCACAGTCATATTTTTTGCTGTAAGTAGCTTTAGTGATTATATTTTAGTTTATGTATTTGATATTCTTGTTTTGAGAAGGGTTCATGGCCTCCAGTAGACAGCCAAAGAGATCTGTGGGCTTTGTGGGGCTGGTGGTGGAGAAACTCACTGTAACTATCAGAGGCTTTGTGTTCTAGTTTTATGCTGTTGCTGGAATAAACTCCTTTGGCCAAAACCAGCTCAGGGAGTAAAGGGGTTATTTGGCTTACACTGCCAGACTGCAGTCCGTCACCGAGGGAAGTCAAGGCAGGAACTTGAAGCTGAAACTATGGAGGAATACTGCTTGCTGGCTCACTCTGTGCCGTGAGCTTTCTGGCTTGCTCCCTCGCTCATGTTTAGCCAGCTTTCTTATACAGCCCACGTCTTGCTCAAGGACTGACTCTACCCACAACGGGCTGGGCCTTCCTGTATCAATTAATCATCAAGATTTTATAGCCATGTCCAAGATTATAACCCTTAAAACCAGGGCCGTAGACCAACCTGATCTAAGCTTCTTTCAGATGACTCTAGCTGGTGTCAAATTGACAATTAAGGCTGACTGGTGTACCTGATTTCTCTAGACTACTTTTCTTAAGCGTGTTCTACCCAAAAAGTTGTTTTTACTTTGTTCCCACCATGTGACTTTTCCCCTAGTGTTTCCCATCATTCCTTGTTGACTCTTTTATCGATTCTTCCTTAGTTCATGCCTTGCATTTAAAGGTTTTTTTTTTCTTGATCCTATTCTTCCTCCCTCCTTCCCACACATATTTATTAGTCACTACTATGAAGTAACTGGAGTGCTTCAGAGGGGGAGAGACAAGTGCTAGGTTATTATAGTTCTGTTGCAATGCACATTTATGCACATTTATGGAGCATGGAAGGGAAATAGCTACCCTAGCTTCGAGAGCCTGTCATGGAGGCACCTCCAGTTAAGTCCTAGAAGGCCAAGTAGAGTTAGTTAGTTAGGCTTGGTGATGGGAACGAAGTTGTGATTAACCAAAACAAACAAACAAACAAACAGCAACATCAATAAGTAAAGCTGGTAGTAGTGGTGTGCACGCCTTTAATCCCAGCACTGGGGAGACAGAGGCAGGCGGTTCTCTGTGAGTTCAAGACCAACCTGGTCTACAGTGCGAGTTCCAGGACAGCCAGAGCAGTTACACTGAAAAGCCCTGTCTTGAAAAACATACAAACAACAACAAAAAAAGGTGTGGCTAACAAGAACTGTTAATGGTCAAGCTGAGATTGGACAGGCAAGGGTGGCTGGATGGTTGAGAGTTTTTTAAACCCTGCTGAGTAAGCACCCAAGGTTTTAAGAGAACTGCGTTTTAGAGAGGCAGCTCTGGTTCAGTGCAAAGATGGGTTGGGGGGAGGAGACCCCCCAGGTGAGACATGAGCTAGAGACAGACGCATGTTACCTTTTGGTTACTCCTGAGGGTACCACTGTGTCCACCCTGTGCTTTGCTTTCCACCTGGGACGTCCATCCACAGCATCCCAGCACCACCTTATTCTACTTTAATGATTTTTTAAAATGTTATTTGAGGTCCATTTGAGCTACTTTTTAGTGTATCCATTTCTTACCTCTTCTTTGACCTTGAGGACCAAGACTAGGTCATGCTTCTGTACCTAAAAGATTCTCTGAATCTTACACTTAGGTTGAGAGAAGTGTAAGAAACTCATGGAATTTGTCTATAGTCACAAAGGAAGGCATGCCCCCTCCCCTTAGCCTTAGAGTTGTAAAATATCTGGGAAGACCGCCTAATCACTATTTTAAAAATGAGGTGCTTTTGTTCTGCATGGGAGAAGCTGTCGCCATTATTCTGTGCCCCACCTTTCTGGGCCACTATCGGCCAGGATTGGGGTGCTGCCAGACTTCACAGACAATTCTAACAGGAACCTAGGGCTCCTTAACGGAGAATGTCTCCCATAATGGTACTAAAGAGAATAATCAAGAAAGGGGGGGGAGGGGCAAATCAACCAAGAAAAATCATAGATTGAAGTCTAGAATCTCAGGAGGCTCTATACTATATTTGTTTGTGGCCCACTGGATTGGCTGGTTCTGTAGTTTTGTATGTCAATGTGACACAAGCTAGAGCCATCAGAGAGGAAGGAGCCTCAGTTGAGGAAACGCCTCCATGAGATCCAGCTGTAAAGCATTTTCCCAATGAGTGATCAATGCGGAAGGCCCCAGCCCATGGTGGGTGGTGTTGTTCCTGGGCTGATGGTTCTGGGTTCTATGAAAATGCAGGCTGAGCAAGCTAGGGGCTAGCACTGTCCTCCATGGCTTCTGCCTCCAGGACCCTGTCCTGACTTCCTTTGGTGATGAACAGCAATGTGGACGGGCGTGTAAGGCAAATAAACCCTTTCCTCCCCAATTTGCTTTTGGTTATGGTGTTTCATCGCAGCAGTGGAAACCCTAACTAAGAAACTGATACCAGGAGTGGAGCATTGTTGCAACAGATCTGATAAAGGCTTGGGGAGGATTACGGAAGGACTTTGGAACTTTGGGCTAGAAGAGTCATTGAGTGTTGAGACCTCAGTGGAATGTTCCGTGAACGATAAGAATACGGAGAGACGTGCAGAGGATGGAGGCCTGCTTTGCAAAGTTTCAGAGGGAAGCTTAAAGACTGTCAGGTCCATTGTTATTTTGAAGTAAGAGTTAGTGGTTCTAGTTAGCTGGGGCTGAGGAATTAGCTGTGATTAACAAGATACCGGAACTACTAAAGAAAACTTTGCTCTGCTGGGATGCTTGATGCTGGCTGCTGAAGTTAAGAAATTAGCAGTGATTAGGAAGAGACCAGCAGCACTGAGGTGAAATCTGGGATTTGTTTCCTGAGAGCACAGAGAAGCTGTGTTCCAGAGGTGGCCAAGGTTGTACCTTGGGATGGCAAGTCAGACTTGGTAATATGTAAGCATCACCCAGGTGAGACTAGTGTTGAAGGCATGAAGGGGTCATGGAGAGCAGCTGAGCGCTGTGAGAGGCCAGGAGAGGCCACTGGTGAAGGTGCAGCCTCCATGACAGTTGAAGGCCCAGGACTGAAGAGGTCATGCAATGAAAATGGTGCTTGGCACCACAAAGAAAGCCTATGAGAGGCTGTTGGTGAAAGTGCAGCCCAGTTTACCGCAGAGAACCTCAGCATTCCGGAGATGTCAGTAACATGGGATGACCCCCAAGAACAGCAGCAGCGGTGGAGTGGGGCCAGTCGGAGTCTAGAAGACAGGCCATGTATGCTGCAGAGGGCGGAGCTGGAGGAGTGACCCAAGTTCTTCGCAGGAATTGAGAAGATCGTGAGAAAATTTCAGATAATTAAACGTTGAGTTATTTATACTGTTGGAGTCTGGCTTTGCTTGGATGAGACTGTGATGGTGCTCTGGCTCTTCCTTCTTAAAGAAGGTATTTAATTTTGATTTTTATAGGAGCCCACGGGTGAAAGACTTGAACTTTTAAAATAGATTGGATATTTTAAAGGAACTGAAATTTTAAAGGCTGAGTTTGTAAAGACTGCGGGACTTGTAAAATTATTTATGATTTTAATGTAAGATCTTGGGGATGAATAAGGAAGGAAGGGTTGTGGCTTAATAGTGATGCATTTGTGTGTGAAATTGATAAGGGGTCAGTTGTACTGCCTGGTTTTGTGTGTCAACTTGACACAAACTAGAGTTGTCTGAGAGCAAGGAAACTTAGTTCAGGAAATGCCTCCATGAGACCCAACCCAGTTGAGGCTTTTTCTCAATTAGATCAATAGGAGAGGGCCCAGCCCATGGTGGGTAGTGCCATTCCTGAGATGCTGGTCCTGAGTTCTGTAAGAAGGTGGACTGTGCAAGCCATGGAAAGCAAACCAGTAAGCAGCATCCTCCATGGCTTCTACATCAGCTCCTGCCTCCAAGATCCTGCCCTGTTTGAGTTCCTGTCCTGATTTCCTTTGGTGATGAACAGCATTGCTGAAGTGTAAGCCTAATAAGCCCTTTCCTCACAACTTTTTTTTGTCACGGTGTTTCATCACAGCAATAGAAACCCTAACTGAGACACCCACTCTCCTTGAGTTACCTGTTAGCCAGGGGTTGATAGAGGAACAGAATCAGCAGGATATATACTTCTAATCATAGGTGGGGCTCTGGTGGCTCATATGATCAGAGGTTCAGCCATGCTTTCCTGCAGTTTGGAGTCCTGGAGAAACTGGTGACTGATCAGTCTAAGGAGTCCCGGAGTACGGAGGGACCAGTGCTGTGTTCCAGTCAAGGCTGAGGCTGTAAAGTCACTGGTGCAAGGCTGAAGAATCCCGAGTCTGTTGTCAGGTCAGAAGCAGGAAATCCACACACTCCGGAAGAGCAGAATTTGCCCATGTATGTGCATTCGTTTCTGCCTTCCTCCGCCTTTGTTCTGCCCAAGTCCTACCTTTGAATTGTGCTGATTCTTGTTTGTTGATATACATCCATTTGTCTCCGGAGACATCCGCAGACACATCAGTTTTCTCTATTACTGTCAATCTAGCCAAGCTGCTAATCAAGATTAATCATAGGAGAAACAATAGCGGTCTCATAGCAGATATTTCACCATTAGCCCGCACAAAGCCCTTGAACACTTCCTCAGCCTTCCAAAGGTCTTGGGTTCTGGATGACACTGGCTAAACCAAATCAAACCAAAGAAGTCACAAGGGTGTGTGTGTGTGTGTGTGTGCATGTATATATGTATGTACAGGTGCATGCATCTCTGTGTATATAAATGTATGTGTGTGCGTGCATGTGTGCATGTGTGTATGTACATGTGTACATATATACATGAATGTATGTGTGCATGTGCATGCATGTGTATATGTGGTGAGTGTGTGCATGCAGGTGTGCATGAATATATGTATGTATGTATGTGTGTTTGTATGGGTGTAGTCCTTTCTCTGGGTGCTTTGTATGTTCCCTAGTTATTCACCATGACCAAGATAGAAAATGTGTTAAATGCTTCAACTTCATTGCCCCTTATGCAGGCACTAATCAGACACCAGAGAACACCAGGAATTGAAAAGAACATAAAGACTGCAAGTTAATCCTTGAAGTTGTATGGCTGCAGGTTAAGGGAGACAGCACACCAGCTGGCTAGTGGAGGTGCCTGTGTACAGAATGCACGATGGACTCCTACTCCTTCGCAGGGAAACCTCTGATCTCCTGTCACAACCGGCCTTCCCAACTCCAAATGCTGATGGTATACAAGGAGTTTGCCATTTGAACATGCACACAAGCACGTACACACACGCACAAGCATGCACACACATGCACAAGAATGTACACACACATGCACAAGCAGGTAAACTCCAAACTTCTGAAGTACTTAAAAATAAAACGAAGAACCCCCGCCGGCCTAATAACAAGTTAGGGAAACCCTGTTTACATTGGACCAGTGATTCAATAAGGATTCCTTGTGTTCCTGGCTCAGCCGAGCATGGCCAGGCGAAATTCATCTAGTTCTTGTCAGTTTCACAAATACTGGAAATTTCATAAAGCAAGCAACTGGTCTCTGGGGTTAGAAAGATTGGGAGACACATTTCTGAGGTCACGAAACAGAAAGGTGCGGAGCTGTTCTTGGAGCAAACTGGAATCGGGTTGGCCACCCCTCCCCTGTCAGCTGCTCCGGTTGTTTCCAAGGTGCTTTTTATCTCCTATCAGCACAGCTGTTGAAAGCAGGCTTTGCAGAGAGATGACGCCGCAGAAAGGAATGCAGTACTACCTGAGGACAGCCTCGTGAGCTGGCGATACAGCACGCACGCACTGTGCTGAGCTGGTTGCCAATCAAGGCAGACGTTTGTGCACCGTTTGATAATGCTGTGATTCAGGTGTTTTTATCAATTTTGAAACGTCCCGTAGTCCTGCACTTCGAGTTTGTTGTTGGTCTCCTGAGTGCCTCCCCGAAGAGTTTCCGAGTTCTGCATTTAAATGAGGAAGGCGGGTTTGGCATATGGGAGAAAGTTAAAGAAAGTCAGGGCTTGCCAAAGAGAATCAGCAGAAGCAAATGCCAAGTCTGTCCACAATTGTCAGTTTCCTAAGACAGACACTCTTTCAGGCCCTACCCTGTAGAACCACAGGGTAGGTCCTGAGGAAGCGGGTGGGTTTAGAGCTTGGCTTGTTACCCCCATACCTGCATTTCAATGTAAATGGAGAGAAAAGAAACAAAACTTAGAGTATTCTCTCTATCACTTCTGCCCGTGTCTGTGAAAAGCTTAGGAAATGATTGTCATTCTAGAACTTAGAACTTGGTGCCTTGGGAGCATTGCTTGTCACTGCCTTGTGGCCGACACCTACGGTGTTACATTTGCTCATGGTGTAAGGTAAGAGCCTTAAGGTGTTGAATATAAACAGAATATTCTGCAGTCTTAACCACCTTGCTGGGCAATTTCCTATTTAATGTTAACCTTTAACTGTGCTAACATCTCAAACTGGTGAGGTGGCTCAGTGGGTTAAAGCACCCACTGCACGACCTGAGTGTGATTCCCAGAACATGTAAAGGTGGAAGGGGAGGACTGACCCCATTAAGTTGGCACACACACACACACACACACACACACACACACACGCACATACACACGACTAACATCTCAAAAAATGAAAATAGTGACATTGAGACACTCTTTTTTCTCCCTCCCTTCCTCCCTCCCTCTTCCCTCCCTCCCTCCTTCCCTCCCTCTTTCCTCCCTCCCTCTCTCTCTCTTTCTTTCTTTCCTTGCTCCCTCCCTCTCTTCTTCCCTCCCTCCCTCCCTCCCTCCCTCCCTCCCTCCCTCCCTCCCTCCCTCCCTTCCTTCCTTCCTTTTCTCCCTTCCTTTCTTGAGCTGGGCTCTTGTGTAGCCCAGGCTGGCCCCAGACTCATTATGTAGCTTAGGATGGCATTGAAATGCCGACCCTCTTGCCTCCTCCTCCAGGGGTTGGGGTGACAGGTTTGCCCCACCACACTTGGTTTGGTCTGGATTCTTTACAGGATTGCTGTGTTACAGGAGAGAATTACAGCTCGGCCTACATCTGCACCTATGATTTGCAGACTGTGTATTTATGAATTCTCTGCTTCCTAATTTTTGTTTACAAGCTGTGGATCCATACTGTCAGTGCCTCCCCACTCGTGTGTGGACATGCACAGAGCTCAGTATAATTTGAGCCACTGGGCAAGCATGGTCTCAGCTAAAGTGGGACAAAGTGACGCTTTCAGCTCTCCCCCTGCAAATGGGAGTTCTTTTTGTAATTTATTTAGCGCCATATCCTTTCATTTTACTGTCTGTGTGTGCGGTTATTGGGCAGTTTTGCTTTGGAAAATGCTGCAGTCACAGGGCTGATTTGCTGTCACGGGTTCCTGTGCACAAGAAAGCTGCAGTGTGTCTAGAGGAGGGAGCTGTCGTGGCGATGCCTTCTTCAGGCAAAAGCTTCCGAGCCCTTTGCTGGGAGTTCAGGGCTGATGAACAGATACTATTTCTTAAAGCTACCTTTAAAACATAAAGCAAGATTTTTTATTCATTGATAAAAATGTTACAATCAATGCTCCCAGAAACTCAACCCTGCATTTTCTCTAGGATTAATGATTTGGTACCTGCTAATTTCATGACATTGGTAGCTTTACAGAACAGAACTACCTCAGATAACAAGAATCAACCATGTAGTGATGTATTAAAAGGCGATGGGGGTATTCTGAGACACGCATTTTTGGGCTATGTTGTGTTAATGTCACAGAGTACATTTACACAAACTAAGATGCCACTGGGTGACGAATCTAAGGGACTATCGACACACATGCCTTTTCCCATTGACCAAAACCTCACTCTGCAGCTCACGACTGTGCTAGAAGTACTCACAGGCTCTTACTGGAAGGAGGAGCTTGTGAATCTGTTACTTCTCTTGGCCTGGAAGCCATACTGTTTTTGAACTAGAAGAAGTTTGTTAGTTGGCAAGGTAACGCATATGTCTGGTACCCTCTTTGTAGGGATGACTGAAACGTCATTCTTTCAATGGCAGGAACTCCTCACCCCCCTGACTGGAAACCCTTGCCTTAAGGTTGAGGTCTCACAGACAACTTGCTCTATTATTTCATGGAAATTGGGTATTCAACCCATGCTCTGGCCAAGTGGTAAAATGGGACTACACGATGGACTTCATTCACAGGCAGGCTAGAAAGGGATCAAGCTGATCACGAAGGTTCCTTTGTTTAAGCTACAAGCACAGAATCTTGGCCTAGGGAGAGATTTATTCTTAACCTGGAAATGTCGGTGTATACGAGCTAGAAATAGATCCATTGGATCCAGGAAGACTAACAGCAATGACAGCCTAGTAAGGATGGCTTGGCTTCTTGGGGAGCCAGGGCCATAAAAAAAACTATGTGACAGGAAGGAGAGAGCAAGACAACCACTCTATGGATGTTCCAGAATGTCTCATTCATAGTGCAGAGACACATATCTAGTGGGACCAACATTGAGTGTTAGAAGGTGGCCGATGGTTTAGATCAGGAAACCGGGCATGTGCTAAGGCTCTTATGGTATGTTCTAGGTTTCCTTTCAAATGTCTTTTCTTCTTTGGGGCAGAGGGTGGTGGTGGTGGAATCCCTTGAGGTTCCTGAGAGAACTGAAGTTTCTTCCTAAGCTCCATGGGCTATAGATGAGAAAGAGGCTTGAGTGTTTCTCCCTGTCTGGATGTCTTCCCAGAGTCTGCTATATCATGGCCTTACCTCATCTGCGTTACCACCACCTGCTAACCATGCGATGCTTTCTGTGGCATCTTCTGATTTAGCATCAGGTTTTTGTTCAACATGGAAATGCTCTGATAAGAGGGAATCTGGGTCCTAATATTGCAGGGTTGGGGGTGGAGGGTACAAGTGTGTGCATGCAACATGGATGTGCATGCATGTGTCCATGAGTACACACATGAGACTGTGGCAGGACACCCTTGCAAACCCCAGAGCCTTTAGAAGCTACTTTTTCAGGCCTCTCTGCCTGAAGTCTAGAACAGGCAGACACACACTGGGTGGCTCCCTCTGGCCATGCAAAACCATATGTCATTCCTTCTTCAAAAATCAGCATCCCATAGGCCTTCTTGGCTCACTGTCCACATCTGGTAAGTTCCTGAATCTCCAGGAAGGACAGCCTTCCTTCTGCATGCTCTGGAGTCATGCACTGTTTAAGCCACTACCATGCTACTCTCTGTCTTCCACTC